CCCCCACCCTCATCACCCCCACTACCATCACCACTACCATCGCCGCTGCTATCGTTGCCACCACCGTTGCCACTATCACTATCGCCACCCCACCACCACAGCTGCCATCATTACTATTGCCACCCTACCACCACCACATCCCCACCAACAACATCCCCACCACCACCAACACCACCACCACCACCGCTGTACCACCCTACCACCACTACTACTGTCCCACTATCACCCCTACCAACGCCACCCCACCACCACCACTACCATCACCACTGTCACTGTCCTAACCACCCACCACAGCCATCACGGTCTCCTACCTCTATCACTATTGCTCACCATCTCTCACCTTACTATAACCCGATGCTTAAATTCATTTATTTCTATTATATATTTGTGATTTGATTTTAGATATGAGCACAAATATGTTTATTGTTTACTATTTTTTATCAATTTGTGCCTTCAGATACAAACAATAACTAGTATATGTATATATCAAAAGATATATAGACAAATAAGATACATTTCAATACAAATAATTAACTTTTCATCAATTTTTTTCCGATTTTGGAGGGATTGATTATAGTAAATTGGAAGGAAAGTTAATTCATCAATTTTTTCATCATTCCTTACCAAACATAATATTTTATTTATTTCTCTAACTTTTCATACTTCTATTTTTTTATCATACCAAATAGAATATTACAGAATTGAGTTTTGAGACTTATTCGACATAGGCTGACAGACACGTTCACCAATGTGTTGCATGTTTGTATTACATAATTATACTATACTCTTTTACTATTCTACAATATATAACAATCAATGTTTAATAGAGAGATTTGATCAAAAAAAATGTTTAATAGAGAGAACTATTAATTTCTCTACGAGAGAGCTTTTTCTCTCCCTACTTTTAATTTTTTTTATTAAAGCAGAAAAACACAATTATTCCAATCATAATTTATATTATTCTCTTATAATCACCAATCACTTTCTCACTAATTACTATCATTTTTTAAAATTTATTGAAAAAATTACTATAAATAATTTTTAGAGTTAATTATACTGGAGGTCCTCAAAGTATGAAAATTTATCTCATTTTAGTCCTTAATATTTCAATTGTATTATTTGGTCTCTGAAGTATTGAATATGTTTCTATATGATCTTTTAAGCAGACAACGTCTAAATTACTAATAATTTTTTATCATAAATTTGTCACGTAATATCTAAATATGGACAAAAAAATAAATTTGATAGCTCTTAAAACAAAATTTTGGTAGCTCTTGACAAAAAAATGTGTAATATAGATAGTTTTTGACCAAAATTTGAATAGTTCATGATCAAAATTGTGTAATTTAAGTAGCTATTTAACTAAAATTTGAGTAGAAATTTAGTCAAGAGTTTTTCAAGTTATTTTTTTGTTCATATTTAAATATCACGTGACAAATTTATAACAAAAAATTATTAACAATCTGGACACTGTCTGATCAACGGACCATGTAAAAATATATTCAATATTTCAGAAATTAAAATGATGCAATTAAAACTTTAATGACCAAAATGAAATAAATTATATATTTTGGAGACTTCCAGTGAAATTAACCCTGATTTTTATAAATGAATCTGGCTCAGTGAGGAGAGTTCCAACGACCAATTAGTCAAGGGACTTGTGTTACGTGCTGTTTCATTTCGTAGTGAAATTATCAAAAACCACAAGGGGTCTTATTTTAATTTACCCAAAATTTCAGCGTGAGACAATATTTTCTCCTCGAACTGGCTCGATTGAGAATCGTGAGGACCAGCTAAACCATAGATCGGCTTAAAGCCTTAAAGGCTTAAACCCTTGTAAATGGCATTAACGTAAACCCTCTCTCTCTACGGACATACAAACTCTCCAGACACAGCGAGCTCCAACTACAACCGCGCCTTGGTCACCAGCAAGTACATATATACCCAATCACAGCCTAAGCCCACCGTTGGCCAACGCGAACTACCAAGACCCTATCAACCTCAATCACACCGGCCCTTCGCTTCACCGCTTAGGAAAAAGGTACGCTTACCTTCTTTGTGTTTCTCTTTCTGTTTGATGAAATGCCTAAAATAATTGCTTTTTATTGAATCCTCGACAGAAGATGTCTATATAGATGGAGTGAAGTTATTTTAGCTTCATAATATTTGTGTGTATAAGGAGGAAGCTTCACTTTGCTGTGTCAGAGACTAACGACAAATGAATGTATCCTTATGGTGAATCATTTACTAGCTAGCCGGTGCTCCTTGTTAGCCAATCTGGTCCTTTTGGTGTGATGCTGTACTAAATTGAGTAAGTTTCTCTTCTCCTGATCATTTTATGTTTTATTATGAACCTGGCATCGTTATATCAATTGGGTATCTATGTTTTAAAGACAACCCATATGATGAGCATCTGGTTTGAACAATGTACTTGCAACAAAATATTGTGAATTATTTTGTTATAATTAAAGAAAATAAACCTTACAGGTAATTTAGAAAATAAAAGACCTTCTGATCAAAAATAGAAGAACAAATGAAGAAATAAAATTTTATGTCACCTAGTTCGAAGCACAGGTCTAAATATGTGAAAATCCTAAATTCTGAAACGCATTGAGAATTCTAGAGGGAGCATTGATATAGAAGAAACTAGTGCTTGATTTTTTTGCGCGCTCTGATATGAGGGTGAAATCTGGTCCCCCCCACTTCACCATGTTACCATATCCTCCAGATGACGTAGAAATCATACGAGGCAACAGTTGTAGTTGTTCTTACTAATAGTCTTTGAGCTGTTACGGAAATGCTAAAAAATAAATAGAACCATCCAAATCTCATCTAAATCCCTAGACAATTCTAAGAAGCTGTTTTATTAAATGTATCATTTCTCTTTCGTCTTGATAACCGTGTAAATGTATAGTAACTTCAATGGTGAGGAAAGGAAGACCAAATATACCATAATGCCATTTCTATTTATATTTAGTTTAGTGGTTATAAATTTTGTAGAGAATCGTGAAAACAGTAGTCATCGAGTGTCAAACCAGAATATTCACAACTGATGTCTGATAGTGGTATACTTTTCTAGCTCTTGAAAATTGTCTCTACTTGCAATTTTGTATCTGACTTCCACCATAGGCTATTTATATCGTAACCATAATTAAGGCACACTGTAATGAATTATATTACCAATATCACATCCTCCACTGGACATAGTATCCTGTGACATGTCATGTATGACTGAAAACATTCGACAATAGCTTGCTATGTCGTGGTCCGATGGTTTCTCCATTAGTCCTTTTATTTTGTGCATCTACTTTCAGAAAATCAATATTATTTTATATTGTGTGTTTGTATTCTTATCTGTCTATTATAATCTTATGAATCGTACTTCATATCCTGGAATTCTGCCAGACACATACAACTACAGAAAATTTATTTCACACCCATTTGATTTCATTTCCATGTAACCAAATTCCAATCTAGTTACGATTGCTTATTGTATACACTTAGATAATGCAGATGTTTCCATTTAGATGTTCCAGCAACTCATATTTTATGTCTAAAGCTTATTTGACACTGGTGTCCTGAATGTTGTCTATGCCTGCTTATGTATTAGTCTGCTTCTGGATTTTAGGTATCTATTGTTTTTCAGAAAAAGGGAGGTAGGAACATGGGGACAAAAAGAAACATTTTAAGACATTATTTCAGGGCATCTGAAATCATGTTCCGAAGCCTTGATGTTTTAATTAGTTTAAAACCATCCCCCCTTTCATTATTGAAGGCTTCAGTTCTTTTGTTTTTTTTTTTGGTCAGAGAAGGCTGCAGTTCATATGTTCTTATTTTGACACCTTTTTTTCACATGCAGTGAAGAGCTTGCATTTTGTTTCTTTGGTTTTTGGATGTTTGTCATATTACAGTTGCGGCACCGACCTTAAGATAGCTAAAATTGCTCTTTGTCCTAGCACTAGAAGAAAGTACAGCACTGGTGTTTCTTCCATAACTTCATTTGTTGAAACACATCCTATTCTTCGGTCTAGTGGTCTGCAGCATTGGTACAAAAACTGGCAAGAACAAAGAAAGTATAAGCTGACATCAAGTACGTTTGCTGGGGCGGTTGGGTTTTGGCCTCGCCGAAGAGTCCAACTCTGGTTAGAGAAGCTTGGAGCAATTGAACCATTCGCTGGTAACCTAGCTACCTGCTGGAGCAACATCAAGGAAGAAGAAGCACTTGAAAGATATAAACTGATAACTGGGAACACTGTCATCTTTCCTGACTTTCAGGTTTATCGTAAGATGAATCCTGAAAGCAATTGGCTTGCAGCTTCACCAGATGGACTACTTGATAAGTTTGTTTATGGGTTGCCTTCAAGAGGAGTGCTAGAGATAAAGTGTCCTTTTTTCAATGGTGATATGAGCAAGGCTTCCCCATGGAAACGAATTCCTGTTCATTGTATTCCACAAGCTCAAGGATTGATGGAAATATTGGACCGGGACTGGATGGATTATTATGTATGGACACCCAAAGGGAGCAGTTTGTTCAGGTTATATAGAGATGTAGAATATTGGGATGTATTGAATATTGCATTATCTGACTTTTGGTGGAAGCATGTCCAGCCAGCAAGGGAGTTGTGCAGTAACTCGGTGGTCACAAATCCCCTCATTCAATTGAGATCACTCAGGCCGGCACCTAGGCATGAAATATGTAGTTTCATTGTTTATGAAAGTAAACGTGTCGTCGACAACTCCAAGTTGTTGATGCGTGAAATTCAGGGAAAATTACAACACTGATGCAGCTTGAGACTTAATAAGTTCAGTTTGATTGGAAATGTCTTTCTGATATGCAGATTATATTGTTAATCATTCTACAAGTTATTAGGGAACGACTTTAGTGACTTGTCAAGGTGTTAAAGTGATGTCAGTTTTTCTTAATCTAGAGAGAGAGAAGAAACACACTCCTAACATAAGAAGAAAGACACCATAACATGGGATACCAGAGTATGCGTTCCTTTCTCTGCCAAAGGAATGGTATGGTTGGTGATCGCTGCTTCTTCCAATCAAAGATAAGAAAATACAAATCTGACCATACTTCTTGACTTGAAGGATTGGCTGAACTTTGGAGATCTGAATTCTTGCTACATGTCTAAACGGCTGATGATGATTTCTATAAAAGTGGGCAGTCTTAAATGTAAGCTTCTATTCTTTGTTTGGTTTTTATCTAAAGAATATACTGTGCCTTGCACGTCTGTAAAACCCAACCCAACCCAACCCTGTAATGTAAATACCAGGTGATTAGGACTTCCCACTTTGTAAGTTGCACTAATGATGTGGCGTCTTTTGTTGTGCCTTGTCGCTTCTAAGCCATCCACTTTAGAGCATTGGCCATCAAGGATAAGCACTACATAAAATTTTTTTTTTAGGGCCCGCCCCAGTGGATAACAGAAGTTTTAATACAACACAAACCAGCCAGAAACATGTATAATTCAGAATTATAAGAAATAATCAAGATATGTACGTCAAAAACCACAAGAGAAGAATACCATGAGATGAGTGGAAAGAAGCTATATGTAAAAGCTATAAGATTGAACAGTAAAGAAAGTTGTAAAGAACTTGCTGATATACTCACTTAAGTTATTGTCTATGAAGAGTTTTAAGAAAATTTGCTATCTGTCATTTCTGATGAGGTCTTATCTAATTTCTGCTCATATAAGTGATTGATTACTGTTATGTGTGATAGATATTGATGAAAAGGATGCTGTTGCGTGTTATTTCATAGGAAAAACAAAAGCAATAGAAATCTTGCAATAATTACTCAGATAGTTGTAGAATATAAGCTGAAAGAAAGCATCTGGGGACTAAAAAGAGAAGAAGTTTTTGCATACTTCAACCATCATCTGACGTAAAATGGTTTTATGTCTCTACTAGGTCCCGTTTTACAACAGCTATACAAGATGTTTGAAGTGCGGGACATTTTTAGTATAAGTTTTATAATTAGCAAAATCCATCACAATATGCTTCATAGAATGCATCGGTGTAATGTCAAAATTCAAACTACAAAACAGTTACAAGTACAAAAAAATCTGTAGTAGTCTATGCAAGAGTTGGTCCCTGGTGGTGTGCGAGAATTCTGATGTTTGAATGCTATAAACATGCATGATCAGAGAGAAAAAAATCACCTCGGAAAAGGGAATGCAAGTGGATGAAGTTCAATTGTCTTTATACTGAAATCCAGAGTGGAATAAACCAGAAATCGAGTTGAAGTACCCATTTCAGCCTTGCTGGGAATTATTAAGACGACAAAAGCTTTAGTGATAGACTACTGCAGACATGTCAGAGAAAATGTTACCATGTGGATTACTAAGCCCTCCTCTTTTTCATGTTCTTCTTATTGCAATGCCTTTCCTTCTAATGAGGGCAAAATTTTATAGCATATGATTGACATTTGGTTATGATTTCGTGTTTAGTTGTTAACCTACATGCATAGCACAAGTAACGCCATCCCTTCATGTAATAAGTGAAATTTGGCTTAGGCAGATTGTGGATTTTGGGTTGCTGATATATTTAGCCAGTTTCATGTGCAACATCAGTGTATGATATTCTTGTGTTTCAAATGGATGGCCTGCTACTAAATTATCAAATTATCCTTTAAGTTGCTGAACCCATCTCACCCATCTTTTACTCCAGTTAATTTTCTGAACCATCTTTCACTCCAGTTGATCATTTGCCTATTAATCCTTCCAAAAGAACTTTCCATACATAAGCTACTGCCTTTCTCATGATCTCCCTTGTTGTGCAAAAATAAAACTTTTAGAAGAAAGTGGTATGCAATATGATGAGCACCATAAATGCCTTGACGTGTCTCTGTAGCCAGAATTAATTTCCTTGAATAGGTGATGGATGGTGCAGGTGGAATGTATAGGATTATTTTGTTTATTAAGGGTAGAATAGTCATTTACTTTCCCTGCCTTGTTTAGCTTATATATAGTCTCTTTGTATTTAGGTTAAATTACTTTCTTCATTCAATTGAATTATGGAGTATCAATAAAACTCTAGCCTCCTCTCTTTCTTATCTCTTGTATTTCTTTAGATTGTTCAACATGGTAGGAGCAAAGTTTCATGGGACAAGACTTAATTTCAAACACAGTTTACGCGGATCCAACTCCACGGTGAGTTGGCTGGGGGTTTGAGAAGGTATTTGTTCCATTTTTGCAATCTGGTTTTCTTTGTTTGTTGATTATGACTACTGCAAGAGACGATTTGCTTCAGTCTGTGAGTGTGAGGTTAGATGGAAAGAATTATTCGTATTGGAGTTATGTGATAAGAAATTTTCTTAAGGGTAAAAAGCTATGGGGATATGTTAGTGGAACTTCTGTGAAACCTAAGAATACTGATGTGGGTTATGCTGATTTGATAGATGTCTGGGAAGCAGACAATGCAAAAATTTTTACTTGGATCAACAATTTTGTTGAACATTTTATAGGTACGCAGTTGACAAAGTATGAGACAGTAAAGGAGGTTTGGGATCATCTGCAAAGGTTATTTACTCAATTAAATTTTGCAAAGCAGTATCAATTGGAGTATGATATACGAGCTCTTCAGCAGAAGAATATGAGTATTTAGGAGTTTTATTCTGCTATGACAAATCTTTGGGATCAATTGGCTCTTACACAATCGGCTGAGTTAAAGGCATATGGTGCTTATATTGCTCGTAGAGAGCAGTAACGGTTGGTACAGTTTTTAATGGCACTTTCGTAGTGATTTTGAAGGACTTAGAGGTTCAATTTTGCATCCTTCTCCACTTCCTTCTGTTGACTCAGTTATCAGTGAGTTATTGGCTGAAGATATACGTCTTAAGTCTTATTTTGACAAGAGAATTCTTTCTACTTCTGATCTTTCTGTGCTAGCAGTACCTTCTAAATCATTCTCTCATAATCAGAATAAGTCTTACACAAGGCCTGCCTTCGACGAGTGCAGTTTCTGTAAACAGAAAGGTCATTGGAAGGCTCAATGTCCTAAGTTAAGACAGCAAAATCAATCTCAAGCTTGGAAGTGGGGCAACCAATCACAATCTAATGCTCCTAGACCACCTCAGGGTTACAAACCACCACAGTCTAATACTGTAACAGTAGTTTCATCAGGTCCTTTTACCGATTCTAGTACCTTGGCTGAGCAATTTCAGAAGTTTCTCTCCTTACAGCCACAAGCTATGTCTGTTTCTTCTTCAGGAGGTCAGTTGCCTCATAGTTCTCCAGGTATGTCACATTCTGTATGGGTCTTGGATTCTAGTGCTTCACATCATATGTTTCCAGATTCTTCATCTTTTGCTTCTGTATCTCCTTCATATCCCCTATATTCCAAAACTCACAGGTTCCTGTTGTCACAAAAGGAGGGTCTCGATATTATATTTCTTTTATTGATGATCATACTCATTATTGTTGGATTTATTTAATGAAACATCGTTCAGAATTCTTTGAGATATATACAGTCTTTCAAGCTCTTGTCAAAACTCAACATTCTGCTGTTATCAAATGTTTTAGGTGTGATTTGGGTGGGGAATACACTTCTAATAAATTTGATGAGTTGCTTGCGTTAGATGGAACTATTCACCAAACTTCGTGTACAGATATTCTTGAGCAAAATGGTGTTGCTGAAAGAAAACATAGGCATATTGTTGAAACTGCTCGTTTTCTCTTGTTGTCTTCTTCTGTTCCTAGTGAGTTTTTAGGTGAAGCTGTTCTTACTGTTGTACGTTTGATTAATACAATTTCATCTTCTCATATTTCAGGTGTTTCTCCTTTCGAAAAGTTGTATGGGTATGCCCCTGATTATTCTTCATTTAGAGTTTTTGGTTGTACTTGTTTCGTTCTTCGTCCTCATGTTGAACGCAACAAGCTGTCCTCTCGATCTGCTATTTGTGTCTTTCTTGGTTATGGTGAAGGTAAAAAGGGGTATCGTTGTTTTGATCCAATAACTCAAAAACTTTATGTGTCTCGTCATGTTGTTTTTCTTGAGCATATACCTTTCTTTTCTATTCCATCCACTACTTATAGCTTGACTAGATCTGATCTTATTCGTATAGATCCTTTTTTTGAGGATTCTGATAGTTTGTCATCTCAGGTTTCTAGTACTTTAAATACCAGCACTGATCATTCTACAGGTACTGACACTTTACTCTCTAGCACACCTGAAGCTACTTCCTCTCCTATGGTCCCTTAAGCTCTGTCTGAGATTGTGGATCCACCTCTACGTCAATCCACACACATTCGTAAGTCCACAAAGTTACCAGATTTTACTTATTCTTGTTATTCTTCATTTTTTACTTCCTTTTTAGCTTCTATTCATTGTCTTTCTGAGCCCTCATCCTATAAAGAGGCAATTCTTGACCCTCTTTGATAACAAGTTATGGATGAGGAACTTTCAGCTTTGTATAAGACAGATACTTGGGATTTGGTTCCTCTACCTCCTGGTAAGAGTGTTGTTGGTTGTCGTTGGGTGTATAAGATTAAGACCAATTCTAATGGATCTGTTGAGCAATACAAAGCTAGGTTGGTTGCAAAAGGGTACTCTCAACAGTATGGTATGGATTATGAGGAGACATTTGCTCCTGTTGCAAAAATGACTACTATTCGTACTCTTATTACAGTTGCTTGGATTTGTTAGTGACATATCTCTCAACTTGATGTTAAAAATGTCTTCTTGAATGGGGATCTTCAAGAAGAAGTTTATATGGCTCCCTCTCCTGGTGTTTCACATGATTCTGGGTATGTTTGCAAGCTCAAGAAAGCGTTATATGGTCTCAAACAAGTACCTTGTGCTTGGTT